GGTGAAATACGCAAAAAGTAAAATTAACACTAAGGAGTCTAAGCTTTGGAGTCAAACCTCACTATTGGGACGATTTATTTCGGATTGCGAACACCCGTTGGACGTCTCTTTTGACCAACCTATTATTGGGACCATATTTCCCAGAGTGCGGCTACCCCCTATATTTTGTGGGTCAGAAATGTGCATCCGACAGGAAAAGGTAGGTTTTTCAGAGAAAGTACGTTTTACTTTTGTCTAATTTCATATCTTAAAATATGGTTTGCATTAATTAATTAACATATTTGAGATCCTTTTAACCCTTAAGATTGAGTTCAAGAACGTAAATATCCGATCATTAGATCATCTCGCAGTAGAGTGAACTTTAAGACACGATTCCCAGTAGAACACCGAAGTCAAGGATCCCTGGCTACGGTCAGTGTGTGGATGGGTGATCACTTTGATCAACCTACAAAGGAACCAAAGGTGTGCGGTATCTATCCTAATTAAACTTTTCAGCCATTAAGAGCTCGACTTCACGCGCAGGTCGTCAAGCAGGAGATTCATCCCCTCTGCAGAGGATCAAAATTGTGNACACCGAAGTCAAGGATCACTGGCTACGGTCAGTGTGTGGATGGATGATCACTTTGATCAACCTACAAAGGAACCAAAGGTGTGCGGTATCTATCCTAATTAAGCTTTTCAACCATTAAGAGCTCGACTTCACCCGCAGATCGTCAAGGAGGAGATCCACCCCATCTGCAGAGGATCAAAATTGTGTTAACATGTCTTCGGATCATCCTCAAAAATGTTTCCCAACTCTACACCAATAGCCCATTGTTCATCGTTAGTACGACATAGACCAACAAAAACAACCGATCATTAGATCAAAAAATTTTCAGAGCAGTCTGCTTTTTGTTTGCAACAAGTAATTTATTCATTTCTATTGAAAAAACCTTATATTGCTATCTGGGACAGCTTGCAACACGAACAAACAGTAATAAACAAATGGAAAGAGGCCAAATCAAGACTGCCAAAAAAGCGAGTTATTCGAAATCTATCAACTATGTCACCTTTTTTAATAATAATAACACATTTTCACAAAATAACTAAAACACATTTTCACTCCAAACTCCCCAGAATTACATAATAACATTAATATCTTATGAAAGACGGCAGATTTGAGCTCAGAAATTATCTAATTTATTTCTTTTATTGAAAGCAAAATTATCCGTTTGAAAACATCGCCTATCAGAATAACATGTAGTAAGCAGCTGCAAACTTTTTAACCGGAACTAGAGTAGGTCCCGAGATTGTTATTGTTTACATTTCTATTGAAAACACCATCCATTGGAACGTGCCTACCATGATTCAATAACAGGTATAAAATACCTGTTCCAGAAAATACTAGCCATCTCTATCAGGAACAAAAACACAAACAGTGCATAAATGAAATGACAGTTGGAAGGAAATCATTATAAACTTCATAAGTAGAGATATTTTTCTTAAATCGCTAATAATTGAAACTTTATGCTAATAATTTCCAAAAGGACAAGTTTAAAAGCTTTTTATTGTTGTCTTTTATGTGTATACTGTATGTTATCTTTATTATCTACTTTGATCTTATGAAAGCTGATAGCGTTATCATTTTAGGTACACAATTGTTTATGAAATAATCTAAAAAGTTAAGAGAAGGACCGGTTTTTTATTCGAAAAGTCACGGGCTTTAGTTTGCTGCAAATTTTATCCCTCTTTAGCAGATATTTAAGTGCTTTAGAATCATGAATATTACGAAAGTTAGTATTATTTTGGTGTATTTTCACCACCACATCTTTTCTTTTTTGCAAATAAACAAGCTTATTATATTTATTGATTTTAGATATTAAGACCTATTCAGAATTTGAAATTTCCTCAGCGATTGTTGTCTGCTGTACCAGAAACATCAGCTGCAAAAAATAATGGAGGATTTCATTTTGGTAATTTCTATTTTTAATATGACTTATTTGCATATTTTTATGTTTCGACGTGTTTAAAGGTATTGAATTTTTTTTTATTAATTACGGATAAATCTGAAGCCAAAACTTTCTTAATGTTTTTAACTGATAATATTTATAAATTGTACAAGCTTTTTTTAGACCTCTCAGTTTTGAATAGTTAAATTAACTTAACTCTGCTTTTGCTTATTACATTTTATTTTAAAGTTTGAGTCTTATGATTTTTTTTTTAATGAGTGCCTATTCTATCTTGTTTTTATTTCTTTTTGTTTTAGAATTAAGTTCAGAGCAAAAAGAAATTCAACAACTCGCTCGGAAATTTGCAAGGGAAGAAATTTTACCAAAAGCTGCAGAGCTGGATAAAACGGGAGAAGTAAACTTTAAATTTTATTATCTGTTATTAAATTTTGTATATAAATAAACTTTTTTTCTACTTTTATCTGGATCTTATTACATTGAAAGTTAAAACAGGGGTATTTCCGTTTTGTGATCTGTTGCGCCAACTACAATCGCCTTATTTTTAGAAAATGTTCAATCTATAATAGTATCTGAAATATTTTATTCTTTCTTTGAAGTTTTCAATACTTTGCATCAGGGCTCGAAAAAACTCATAAATTTTACCCGTCCCCGAGGACGGCTTGTCTAACAATGTACCCATCCTCCTTTGAAACTAACCTGTAGCTTCTAAATAAATAAAAATATAATTTTCTCTTATTTATTGCAAACATAAATTGCACAATGAATTAGTAGTTATTAGGATTAAAATAATACAGTAATAAAAGAAATATTAGGTTACTAATAGTAACCTAGTATTTCTTTTATGAAATAATTTAAATGACAAAGGTCAAATTATTCGGAATGTCAATTTATCTGAGGGTACTGTGTTTTTTTAAATGAATCAAATATGACGTTTGCCAGTTCCACAATCAAGCCAATGATTTACAGAGGTCTCTGCACAGAAATTTAAAGGGGTTTTCCATTTAGGTAGATGTTTATAATTACTTTTAACGCTTCTTGTTTAAGACCGTACGTAATGTGCTTTTTTGTATGTTCATTGCTGAAAAACCCCTTTCAACCTCTGCAATACTTTCAGACAGAGAAAACATCAATTCCACCATGCGCAGTATGTTACTGTATTGTGGGTCATTTTGCTGCATTAGGTCTTTATAAATAGCTTGGACTTGGAGGGCTGAAGTTTTCTGGTATTTAACGATGTTATGTATCTTAAATTTTAATGACACCCATTAAAATTTTACATGTGTTCCTACAAAAATTTAAAATATATCACGAACATTAACTGGAAAATGGCCGTCCGTGCGGACGTCGGATTAGAGAAATTATTTGTCTGCGGGGAATTTTTCACTGGCGAGGACGGGCGGTTTTTCGAGTACCTACTGCTATGCATACATGCAGTCAATATTACAAAAACATATGTTAACTTCTCAGACTGTTTTAAACTCGGGAAAAATAATAAACCAATAATTATGTGCATATTCTTGTAATTTGAACGATAATCCATATTACCAGATAGTTCATTGCTGAAAAGCCCCTTTCAACTGCTGCAGTACTCATAGACAGAGAAAACATCAATTCTACTATGTGCAGTATGTTGCTGTCTTTATAAATAGTAATATTTAAATAGTTTTATCATATACATATTTGAAAGAAATATTATTTGTAAGGAATTAAGATTCAAAATTTATTAACGTGTTTTAAGTATTTTAATTACATTTTGCATTTTTAAGTAAGTACATTTTAACATTTATTTTTTAGAAATATTTTTATATTATATTAAATTATATGTTTTACGCTTACAAAAATTAAATATTTTCAAAATTTTGCTGAACATCTATTAAAAAAAATCTGATTTAAATAAAAAAAAAATTGACTTTTTGAAAAAAAAAAATTTAAATTGGAAATTTTATATATAAAAAATTTTTTTTTGAAAGATGTGATAGCTCAAATCTTTTTGTAATTCTATATTTTTGGCGAAAGTTCAAATATTGCATTTTGTCATTTTAAATTGCACATTTTAAAATGAAGTAAAAACTCTTTACCTTATGATTTCAAAAACATTTCAGCAATTATTAAATAGAATAATAAATAATTATTAATAAGTAGGGTGACCCAGGGTAATTCACAATCACTCTGTTTCTGGGGTAAATAATGATCACCTAAGTTTTATTTAAAATTTTTTTTTTTTTTTTAAATTTGAGACATGGACAAAAATGCTTGTACACTTTACTAAAGTATAACTACATTTACTTAATAATAAGTTTTTGTTTAATCTAACAAAATAAGTATCTTTTAAACTGCTTTCTGTATTTTCCATTTCAAAGATGGGTTTCAAAATGTGCATATTTCTGCAAAGATCCCCCTCATTCTCGTAATAATAAATATTTTGAGTTACTTTCTTTTTCTTTGATATAAAAGTAGTGTAAGCTTTTGTTTAATTGTTTCACATCAACTGTAAACTTTATAATTGATTATAGGAAACTATATCAAATGTTGCCCCCTACATGTGGGGTAATTATTGATCACTGGGGTAATTCCTGATCATTGTCATTTCTTCTTATAAATAGTATAAAAAATAGCTAATAAATAGCTAATTGTCTTTTCTTAAATAACAGTTCATATTTATTAAGTGGAACAACTATAAAATATATTTTAACTGTCATCACAAAATTTGTTTTTAACTGTATACAAGACTGTATTCTGATTTGCACCATTTCTGGTTTGTCTTACCTTGCTTCTATCTTAATTTTATGTGTGTACATCGTTAGAATAATTTTTAAGTTTATAAATTAGCCTAGTATAAATATGGTGAGAAATTATAAGCCTAAAAAGGATACTAAGCTTCTAGAAAACAAAATTAGTGAATTTCTTTTAATGATTGAAAATGAAAATTTCAGTGTGAGAGCTGCTGCCAGAGCTGTTGACATACCTTACTTAACTTTACACTTTCCCTTAATGAAGTTAAAAAATCCAGCAAAAGTAACCCATGTGGGAACTCTCTTATATTTCAGAAGAACATGAGAATGAGTTGGCTGATTGCCTAAAATGTATGGCACGATGCAAAGATTTTTGAAAATTTAAAGTGTTAATCGTTCTTCTTGCTTTTAAATAAATCGTTTTATTAGCTGCTTAAACATATCTTTTTGGTTTATTTTTTGATCTTGATGTCTTATTTGTTAATTACCATTATATAATTATTTTCAAACAGCCCCTTTACAATAAAAACTGGTGATCAGCAATTACCCCAGAAGTGATCAGGAATTACCCCAGAAATGATCAAGACCAGGGGTAATTCCTGATCACTAAAAATTTAAAATCTTTTAAATTCTAATTAGATTTTCAAACAAAAGAAGTTGGCATAGGACTCATCTCATATAGCCTCAAACTTCCAGTAAATATTAAAATTCTATTTTGAATAGTTTTTTCACAAAATAGATATTTGCGTTTTTTGATCAGGAATTACCCCAGGTCACCCTACAGGTAAAGTATGTAAAAAGTGAAATTAATGTTTTAAGGGGACCTCTCCTGGCTAAGATATTGGGACCATATATTCTAGATCCCTCCGCTTATTTTGATGGTCAGAAATCTAAATTCTTGTGTTTGATTCCATAAGTTTATTAATAGTTAGCTCCAATTAACCTGCATATTTAAAGTTACCTTTTAACCCACTGACGGTTCTGCACGTAAAAAGTCGCATTTTAACCTGCAGTCTTCTTTGCATAGCAAAACCGGTTTTCCCATGTTAACTGATAGGGGAACTGTGTGTAGGGGAGAAACATTCTCCCAATTTTGCCCATTTCCTTAACCGCCAGTGGGTTAATGAAATGTCGCTTAGTTCTTCCAATCATTAGAAATGAAGTTATTCAGAGTGATATTCTCAATATACATTGACGTTTAAAAATGTTCTGATAATTATTAATTTCCAATTTTTTGGTCATAAATTTAATTTAGCTCCAAAGTTATTAAAATTTTCTAATGAAAGTTATCTTTTTTAGTATCCTTATGAAATTATAAAGAAAGCTTTCGAGCTTGGACTAGTAAATGCTACTGTTCCTCAGAAATATGGTAAAGTTTTATTTTGTTTAAATTTGAATTGAAAAACAGTTTTAAATTTCGAACTGTTGTAGGAATTATTTAGTTACGAATATTTTTAGGTGGTACTGGCTTAAGTTTGTTTGAAGGATGTTTAGCTTCCGAAGAGCTTGCTTATGCTTGTACTGGGGTAACAACTGCTATTGAAGCAAATGAGCTTGCCGTAAGTGAATTTTTTTTTTTTTTTTTGANACATATTTTTGCATAATTTAAAACCATATACGTAGTTTTAAATTTAAAAAAAAAAAAAAAAAAAATACCACCTAGACCAAGGTTAGGATAAGGAAGACTTAGTGTATATTTTCAATTGATACAATTATAAAACATGCTTGTAACTGAAAAACACAAGAGAGAGTAAAACTTATGAATCTGTATTATCTGTAGCAGGCATGTTAAAAAGTTTTTTGTCCAACTTGAATCACCATTTAAAGAAAACTTTTGTCTTAATGTCTCGTCAGCATTATCTAAATTCGGTATGCCCTACAGCATATGTTTAAAATGTTTTATAGAATGCTTAAAATTAATAAAGTTTATGAAAGATTTGAAGGTTTTCTATACAAGGGCTTTGGAGTCTCCTTTTTTCTCATCTGTGCTTAGCCAAAATTGTGGCTAGGCATTTTTATCGTTTAAGGAGAAAATGGAAAGCAAATAGTGTGAATGGAAAGTTGCAATATGTAAAAACGTATGTGAAAAGGTAGCAAAAAAAAGTGCTCCAATTTAAATTTATAGCATAAAATTATCAACAAGTGATAAAAATGGTGAGGAAGGCATCTAAAAAAAAACATGAGTTATATTTTTAGATTTAGAAAATCATTTTATACAAATGTAAATTTCTGAACACTCATCTATTACTCTAACTTTTTGTGTGCAAGTAACTTAATACTGTATTATTAAATTATTAGTCTTAGTAAATTTGCAATGATTTAGAATGTTATAACATTTATGTATCTATTAACTACCGAATAGAACTGATACTTTCTAAATTAATGTGTTATTATTTTTACCTAGTAGTATTATTTTATTTACAGCAAGCTCCTCTTCTGATTGGTGGTAGTGAGGAATTAAAAACTGAGTATCTGGGACGTGTCACTAAAGAGCCTTTAATGTGTGTATGTATACATAATGTAACTTATATTTTTCATTACTTGACTTTTTGAGACATCAGTGATAACACAATCAAACTTTTATGGTGATTATATGTTGATCGAAAAAATTATATTCATATACAGTATACTCTTGATTTTCCGTCCTCCTTCTGAAGTCAAAAATTTTTTTTTTAAAGAGAAACAAGTTTTAAGATTATCATGCATGTAAAATCGATTTTGATGTGAATTAGAATCTTGTCAAATCAGTTTCGCAGTATAGTCTTGCCATTTATTAACAGAATATGAAACTAAGCAGAATGAATATTTTTATTGATAATAATTGCTGCAATCGTAAATTTAATTCATGAAGTTATAACATTACCAAATTTTTGGAAGCAATAAACATTATTGGATGCAGTATATGGAATATCAGCAGCATGGTCAAAGGTAAAATCGTCTACATTATCATAATCGTTCAAAATTTTTGATGAAGAAAATTTAGAAGATTGGTTTCAAAGTGATGCATGTGAACCTGGCCTCCAATATTTGACAGATGAAGACATCGTTACTAAGTGTGTTGTTAAATCAAATAGTGATGATAATACTGATGCAGAAGATGTTGTAAATGAGGGAAATAAAATTTCTCATTCTCCTGCTCTACTATCTGTGGAATATTTATTAGATTATATGGGAGAACGAGGATTTGATTACGGTGACATTACTATGGTTCGTGAAATATGTGTGAATATATGCACTGTAATTCAATGATATAGAGTTATTATATTGTTTAATTTTTAATGGGTGAATTGAAGGATCATCTACTAACAAGACAGAACATAAGGAAGGCCCGAGATAGTTGAGGGCCCTAAGAATTAAAATAATTGTAGAAGTTTTTTTTTTATAAATTTATGTATGCAATGATCTACAATCATTTACTAACAAGGCAGAACTTAAGGAAGGCCCGGGATAGTTGAGGGCCCAGTTATTTATAAGAATTAAAATGGTTCTAATTGTAGATTTTTTTTTATATATAAATTTATTTATGTCTGCAATGATCTACAATCATTTACTAACAAGGCAGAATTTAAGGAAGGCCGGGGATAGTTGAGGGCCCAGTTATTTATAAGAATTAAAATGGTTCTAATTGTAAAAGTTTTTTTTTATTATTTTTTTTTTTTAAAATAAATTTATTGATGTGTGCAATGATCTACAATTTTACTGAAGTAATTTTTAATTTTTATCATTTAATACAAGTTAATAAATATAAAAACCAGCAAACATTTAGTTTTTAGTTAAAATAAGCATAAAATGTTTAAGATTAATATTTTAACATATTTTTGAAAACTTATATTTCATAAATAAAAGATAAAAATCATTGTTTTAAAAAATCCTTACAAAAACTTACAAAATATGACAATTATGCAGTTTGAAGCAAATTTTGCTGTGGGGCGCATAGATTCTGTGTTGTTCACTAAATTATTTTTATACAAAAATGTTAAGTGGCATTACGTTTTTGTTTCGAGATTAACTTGAAACCTTACTTTAAAATTATTTTGTTAAGGAAGTTTTGCACTTGATTATGAATTTTAACTAAACATTGGTATGAGTCATTATCTAATTGATACTGGTTATTTTTTTAAGCAATACAATGAAAATTTTCTCTATTATCAAACTATATCTATATTTCTATAATCTCGAACTATTATGAGTTTTTCTGTTTTCAATTAATAAAATTATGCTCAAAACTGTTGAAACTCTTTTCTAAATAAAGTTACTTTAAAATTAAAAAAATTATTTCATTATTCTTTTGTAATAAAACTTGCATTCATTATATTTAAGTAGAGTAAACCATAATTTTTATTTTAGTTGGCCATTTTTTTTATTAAGTCTGGTATATGCACATTGTTCCAAAAATTATTATTCTTTTAAAAAATGTAGTTCTTATTTGTTTTTTTTGGGGGGGGAGGGGAAGCACCAAGAAGCTTGAGCTTATTTCCTATGTCTAATTGTTTATTTCTTATGTGCGTATAATTTTTTGGAAATTTAAGCAAAATATTAACTTGATGATGATTCTCTATCATAAATACTAATCCACATCAATATTCTGTTTGAAAAAAGAATTTGTCCTTTCTGTGAGAAATTATTTCTTATGAAGGTTTTGAATTAGAAATGTGGCAAAATAATTTTCCTTTATAATTTCCTGTTTAATTTTCAGAGTTGTAATATTAAAATGATTCATTTTGAATTTTGTTATTTTTAATTTTTTTTATTATTTATGCATTATTTTAAGTTTTGAATTTATTATTTATTTTATAGCATTATACTTTCATAGTTCTGCACTATAATACTTTTATATTTCTGAATAAAAATATTTTCTCTTTATAATTCTAATATAGATTTTAACCTCCAATGTAGCAAATGCTAACAGCTGAAGAAAATGTTTGCTTAAAATTGTACAATTTTGCTTTGTTTTTATTTTGTGAAGTTTGTAATATATATTACACTCTTTGGTTATTCATTAAACGAAGAAAAGTTTTGACTCTTTATCTTTAAAATCCATTAAAAAATATAAGTCTTTTTTCCTTTTCTTTATGGAACAAAATCATTTTAAAAGTAGTGATATTTATTCATAATCATCTGTTATTTTTAGGCGTATTGTGTGACTGAACCAGGAACTGGTTCTGATGTTGCAAATATAAAAACCAGGGCAGAGAAAAAAGGTGACAAGTATATCCTCAATGGACAAAAAATGTGGATAACCAATGGTGGTGTTGCTAATTGGTATGTCTGTTAGTACTTCGAGCTAAACTTCTTAAAAAAATACTTCTTACTTTTAAAATAATAAGCATTTTTTATTTTATGAAAGATTGTATCTTAACATTGCTAATTAATTTTCACAAGTGAATATAAGTCATTCAATACATTGAAAGCCTGTTATAATAAAGTGAATAATCTCCAAGTTGTTGTTATAGCAAAATTTTAATTGTGAAAAAAGTTGTAGAGCTGAAAATCTTTGTATCTTTAACATTATTTATCTTATATCTTCATTAAGAGTGCCTCACAAAGCACTTAAAGGCATCCCATGATCCTTAAAAACTGCTTTAATTTTTATGTAGGAAAATAAGGGGCCTTGAAAATACTTAATTTTGGTTCAAGGTTTTAAAAAGTCCTACATTTCCAGTATCTCTTGGGAGTGAGTTGATTGGTTTATTCTTACAAAAATATTTAAAACAAAAAGTCAGTCTTTCTTTTGCTTAGACTGTGTATGGGGTGCTACACACAAAAGAAAACATGTTCTTTCATTAATATATTCCTCTTTTGGCCTAGAATGAGACCCTGTGTAGAGAGTAGGGCATTCTGAAAGAAAAGAATAGGGAAGGAGGAGCATGATATAGGAAGTATGTGGAAGAGATCATGACTTTTTTTTTTGTCAGTTTTAAGGTGCCTGAGTAGAAGACCCACATTGACCTTTTAAATCGACAGTGTTCAAGAAATTCAATTCTTCTAGTAATGGCACATGCTTTAAAAAAAGAAGTAAAGTTACAAGAAAAAAAGTAACAAAATCTATTTCTAAAAAATTTGAAAAACTAAATGTGTATCATATTTCAATATGTAATTAAATGTTAAAAAAAAAACAGAAATATTTTTTAAAACTCCCATTTGTAAACAGTACTATAATAAATACAGTTATGTCAGTGCTTGCAATATAATTTTTTTTTTAAATTTCAAGAAAAAAAAATAATTGGCAGTTATTGTAGGCACATATTTGATGATAACAGTTATTATACTATTTTTAAGGTCTTTAATTTTTTTTAAAAAAAGTCCTTATTTTTTTTTTTCAAAGTGAGTCCTTAAAAGCCCTTAATCTTTACTGTTATTATAAAAGTGGGAACCCTAACTTGTAATAACAAGATGTGTCCAATCTTTCATATTTGTTACTTCAAACTCTTACTGTTATTCATTAGTAAATTAACAATAGTTTTATAAAATGTTTAGTAAATACTTTATTTTTAGGTATTTTGTATTGGCTCGCACCAATCCAGATCCAAAATGTTCTGCAAGCAAGGCTATGACAGGTTTCATTGTAGATGCAGATTCAAAAGGTGTTACCAAAGGTCGAAAAGAGTGGAACATGGGTCAGAGAGCTTCCAATACATGTGGTGTCACATTTGAAGATGTTGAAGTTCCATTAAAAAATGTTCTGATGACTGAAGGAGCAGGCTTCAAAATTGCTATGGGAGCTTTCGATAAAACTCGACCTCCAGTAAACATTTCTTTTTCGACTTTACTTAGTAACTGTTTTAATTTATATGAATAAACATGAAATAATAGTCTGTTGAAATTCTTATTTTAAATATTAAAATTAGTTCATTATATTTGGTGAAGAGAAAAAAATATTACTGAAATTTTTCAAAATTAATCTCTCTTTTTCCCCTCTATTTTCTGATATATAGTGTATAAAATATTGTGTTGTATAAAATTTTTGAAGAGCTAAGGTAAGCAATACATAAATTTCCAGATTTAAATCATATTTACCTGGAAACTATATTTTTCAACCTTGTTCTATTAATTACATCAGTAATTATGCTGATTTCCATTTTGGTTTTATGAGAGTATAGGTAATGAAATTTTCTACAATGTAGTCCAATATTTGTGTCGAGTTTTGGTTCTGAAAACTATTTTAACACATTAACAACTGCTTCTTTGTTATGATAAGCAAAACATTGTTTTACAGGACATAGGGGTTTTCTGAAAAACATATGCTATAATTTACAGTAACTTTTAATTTTATTTCGAATACATAAATTAAGCATTACGAGAAAGACTATTTTGTTGATTATTATTATTTATTTATTGTTAAAAGGTTATTTTTACACAACTATTATTGATAGCTCAAGGCCTATAATTATACAAATTTTGAATCCAAATTACTAATTCTAAAATTTATTGTCATTTTATTATTGTCCAAATATGCTTTTTATAAAGCATATTCAGTCTCTTTGCATAGTTGTCATTTATGTGACAAATTTCCTAAGTAGATGTAGAGCTTTTTTTTGCTATAAATTTTACATTTGAAGTTTATTTGTTGTTACATGGCTATTATTATTATTACCAAAATCCTGTTACAAAGTATAATATCAATGAATTATTTTATAGGTTGCTGCATCAGCCACTGGTCTAGCACAAAGAGCTTTTGATGAAGCTACAAAGTACAGTTTTGAAAGAAAAACATTTGGCGTGAAAATTGCAGAGGTAAATTTTTCAGCATTATCTGTAAAATAACTGTTTCTGTTTGACATTCATATTTTCATTTAACATAACACATCATAACACTTTGACATTAATATTTTCATTTAAAAAAATTGTATCCTGTCTTTATTTTTTACTTGGCTCTAGCACCAAGCAGTACAGTTTATGCTGGCTGAAATGGCAATAGATATTGAGCTTGCTAGAATGGCATGGATGCGAGCAGCCTGGCAAACAGATCGCGGAGAACGCAACACATACTTCGCTTCAATTGCCAAAGCTCATGCTGGAGATATTGCAAACAAATGTGCTGCTAATGCAGTCCAGGTAAATTTAATTTTATTTCAATTATTATATGCCATGTTAAAATTTATTAATACAACAATTAAATATTGTATTCAAATAAATGATTAAGTATTGTATTCAAATAAATCATATTATATTTTAATCATTATGATTTAAAGATCTATAATATAGTAATTGTAACACATAAGTGAATGAAAGCAGTATGCAAGCTTTATTGTGGATTAACCAAGTTTTTAGGTTGCAAATTTGATATACAACCTTTTAAAATTCAAAATGCTCTAAGAAATCTTAATTTCTGTAAAACAATAATTTTAGTATAGTCCAGTGTTAATACCACGAAGTAAAAATGTTAAATATTAAAACATTGTTTCAAGTGGCTTTATAAATCTTATTAATATTATTAAAGTTAATTAATAATATCAATAAAATATTCAAAACCTTTTTGAAAATACACTACAGAGAAAGTAACACATATTCAGAAGCTAAATCCTCAGAAATTCAGATTTTTCTCATAAATCAGGATATCCCTGCATATTTTATTTAATTTTTTTTTTTTTAATGTAAAAAGTTTTGCTAATTTTAGACTTAAGTATTGCGTGTGTAAAACATTTTGGAACATATGGTTCCATATATTTCCTTATTATATATTAAATTAAAAAATTAATTAATCCTAAAAAAAAAGTTTGAAAAACTTCTATTGTGTACGTACATTGATGATGATTGAAACAAAACAAATTTGAGCGCTTGTTAATTGCATAAAAGACACATACATTAGCAGCATATAATTTTCAAAAAAGTTTTTCTAGAGGTTCAAAAATTATTATTCAATTTGGAAGTTCTTAAACCATCGGGTAGGATTTTAATATTCACATTGAAATCTGCACATTGATTCACATTGATTACCACAAGAATTATATTTATAAGTAAGTAAATTGTAATCTAATATATTTTATTGAGGAATTAAGATATACTTCAAAAGGTATAGAGTTAATAAATTTTATATTTAATTGCATTAAACTAAAAAAATTTCCATAGATATTTGGAGGAAATGGATTCAACACTGAATATCCTGTCGAAAAATTGATGAGAGATGCAAAAATATTTCAGGTAAAATTTTATTTCAAATGTTCATTTTTTGTCTCAGATTTCAGTAAGGCAATTATTTTATATGACCAATAAATATTTCTCTTTAATCAATATGATAAAAAATAAACTATGTTCAGTTAATTTTCTTCCCTAGAGTATTATTTTATTTTGAAAAGCTAACAATGTTTGTATTTAGCTCAGTATAACCTCTTCTTCTCTTTTCTCATTTAAATCTTTTTTCTCAAGCAATATAGCTGCATTTAAAAAATTAGCAATATTTTTTGATGTACTATAAGTTTTTTTTCACTTTTACCTAATGCTTAATGTTTAGAATTTTTTTTTTAATTTTCAAACAGAGTAGGATTGGATCCAATTGCTAGGTAACTTCACATGAATATCGCATAAAAAAATTATTTTTGGTCAAGAATTAGTGTTTAATTACTAAAGATCTTGAAGCAGCATAATAAAAAAGAAAGAAAAAACAAATATATAAAATAACAACGGAGAATAAAATGCCTAAAGATAACAATTGAAAAGAAACACACAAAAAATGAAGTAATATAATAATAAATTAGAAAGGCATATATATATTTTAATCTTCTAGCTTACCAATATCTGGGTAAGTAAATCTATTAAAATAAAAAAATGAGAGTAAACAAATAAACTAAGATAGCTAGGTAATGTAAAAGGGAAGTTGAGAACATTACCCATAAAGAAATTTTTTTTTGTTGTTTAAAGTCAACCTAGTCATTTTTTGTAAATTTAAAAAAAACAAACATTTCCTTGCCTTTTTTTATACGCGAATGAACTTATGTTTATTCTTGCTTTTAAAAAATAAGTATTCAATGAAATGTATTTCATTTATTTTTTAGATCTATGAAGGTACTTCACAGATTCAAAGAGTCATTATTGCAAGAGAGCACTTCAATAGGTTCAAACAATTTAATTCTTAATCAGAAAGTAATATGAGCTTCTACAGAAAATGAGCTTCATAGTGGGTGAAATTAAGAAAAAGAATTCAGATTAAACATAGTTCAAGTATTTGATAAAGTGTAATTTATGAAATATATTTTTTATTTAATGAGCTTTTTTATAGTTTTATTGATAATTTTGCATACTTTGTAAAAATTATCTATTGTACAGTGTTGTTAATCAATCTTAACTTTTGATTTTTAAGCAATAGTAGCACTTTTTTACTGAAAATAAGCACACATTTCAATATTCTATGAATTGTTTTGGAAAAATAAAAGTTTTTTTCATTGAGAAATTTCTTATTTGTTAAGTTATTTGCATTTTTATTAAACAAATGAAAAATCATTTTTATATAACACTAATAATGTCCATTAAAGAGTTTCTGCATGATATTTTCAGTTACAAAACTCACTTTAAAAAAGAAATCTTATTTTTGACTTTTCTTTTTTAGGTTTTTCTTTCCTTCCATCACTTTATAAAAAGTTTTATGAGTTATTATCAATTCACAAATAAATTAAAAGAACTATCCCTGTTAGAACTCATTTTTATCAAACAATTTTATCTTTAATATAATAAAAATCAACAAAATTATTAGTTAACAAAAAACACCTGCATATTAGATTATGACAAGAATATTTAAATAATTTTGATCATAAAATTAATTGCTGTATAATTTTTATTTTTATTTATTCAAAATATAGTCTATACGTGAATAAAGAATCATTAAAAATAAAAAATATTTATTTACAAAGCATGTCAATTTAAATATATAATCAAAATATGGCTATCTTTTTATGATTTTTCTTTTTATTAATTTCTTCACCAATTCTTTGTTCTTTAGCTTCTAAGTTTCGTAGGATGCCAGTTTGAACTGTCATTTTTTGTTTCATTTGTGCACAAGCAGCTTCATTCCTAAATGTTCAAAAATATTTACAATATTATTAACTGCTGACAAATGTCATAATAGTTACAGAATATAATATACAAAGTTATAGTGGTAGATAATTATTAGTATGTTTCCACCAAGCGTTCTTCAGAACTATTATAAAATGTAGTTTTTTAGAAAGGTGACTCCCTGCCTTTTGATCTCTATAAATGCACCCTCCTTGCCATTTTTTGAAAAAACAAACTGCCATTCTTTAAAAACATTGCCGTTTTATTTTCAAAGTAAAGAGTTGTTTTTGTTAACACTTATATTAATGAAAAGCACACTTCAGACTTATTTAGTTACTAATTATAATTTAACTTTATTTTTAAATTTAATTCCTTCATTTTAGTGAAATTTTTCTGGTGTTGCGTAGTTATATAGTTTAAATTTGTATGATATTTGGCTCCAGAGATTTATTTACGGGGTGTATAATATTAATGATTTGAAATTGTACCCTTATTTTGTTAAATAAATACTTTTTACTTAAAAATGCATCTTTAAATGTTTATTTTCTCATAATTTTCAGTTTAAAATATATGTAAAAAAAGCTTTAAATTTGTCCATCAATTAAGACTTTTTTTTTTTGAAGAAGAAAATTCATATACAGAGCATACATTCTTTTCATATACAATCTTTTAGCTTGCCTTTAATTATTTTTCAAAAGCTTCAAGTTTTTCTGTTATTTTGATAATGTGTGAAAATTACTTTGTAAAATATACATATAAAATAGTATAAGTATAGTAATAGTATAAAATAATTTAAAAATTGAGGATTAAATTTAGTTATTACATTACAGTGGTGAGTGAGTGCCCTTTCAAAACTCAAAGTGTGATACTGAAACCCTGCCTTTTCTTATACTTCTCTTTATAATTATTGCCTAAGTCTTGCAATTTTTTGATATTACACTGGATAGAATTAATTACCATTAAATTGTAGTGAGGATTTAAGTAATCATCTACATTTTGATGTGTATATATTTCAGATACATCAGTTTCAGAATAAAAGCAGAACTTAGCTTGGTAACGAAACTTCAGAAACAGGTTTTCAAAATTACAAATTGAAAAATTATAGTGTAAAGGAATTATATTAAATAAAAAATAGTTTTTATTAACTAAATATTTTGAATTACAAGATTCTTCTGTTGGTTGTTTCAAAATGCCATTAATAGAAATCTCAATTTGAAATGATTTATTATTAAGAACCAATCTAAAGATTTAATCCCCTTCATACTTTTAATTAAGGTTTTCATTAATTTTGAATAAGACAAAACATTCTTTAGAAAAAAATATTTTTGTGAATGATCCCTTAGTTTTCCATTTTTATAATTCTTGTGTATGTGAATTGTTAAATGTATTAAAATAATTTTAAATAAACTGAATAAATGAACAATTCAAATTTTTAAAACTTTTGATTTCTTTTCCTAAAATAGTACAATAGTGCATAACCTCTAATTCACTCTTAGGAAATTTTATTATAAGAAAATTTCGAGTGTTTCTTATAATTTATTATTAAATAATAAATTTTAATTTTATTTAGTATTACATAATTTCAATTGATAGCAATAAGTTATAACTTAAAATAGCCCTTTATTAGTTAAAAATATTGCATAGAATTAAATACCTATATATATATATATATATATATATATATAACGTCGTTGCCGAGTGGAAGGATTAAAACAGGTCATAGGTCGGGAAAGAGGGTACAAAATTTATTTATTAATTATTAGACAAGAGCAGTCATGAGAGTGAGTGAAAGTGCACATGAAAAGTTGCGATCCTTGGTTATATGCTAGGGAAAATCTTGCAAAGTAAAATCCGTAAAACGTCTTAATTTAGGGAAAGAGGGAAATCTTAGTAGTTGCTATTGGTTTATGAGATAGATCGAACGTTTCCCACACAAGAGCAAAGGGAAAAATGTCCTGCTCTTAATTAAATGCATACTTGAGCCAAAAATAGATTTAAGAACAGGATGTGG